CGCTACCCTTGAATAACCCCATTAAACACAAAAACTGTTTGTACTCGTGAACATGGGGAAACAAAGTTTTTTTCTCGCATGACTCATCCTTTAAATGTTTTCATTAAAGGCGTAGTAAGGCTTTGTACAATAATTTCTGTAATTGTAGTACTCATGTGTATATATAAGAATTTCATAATGAGAGATTTTGAAAATCGCTCAAAAAGCCGTAAGACGGCATTCTTTTTCGAGTTTGGGCAGCTACTCGAGCGACAGCCAAAAAAAGCATCGGCACGTAATGTGACCGCATGCAATCGAGAAAAATCAGATATTAAAGTTTTTTTCATCTTCGACCCCGTGGGGAACACCAAAAAAAAATTAAAATCTAGACTTTCCCGACTGCAAGCAGTCACATTACGCACCGATGCTTTGTTTGGCTGTTGCTCCAGTAGCTGCCCAAACTCAAAAATGATTGCCGTTTAACGGCTTTTTGAGCGATTTTCAAAATCTCTCATTATGAAATTTTGATATATACACATGGGTACTACAATTACAGAAATTATTGTACAAAGCCTTACTACGCCTTTAAGATAAAGGGAGAGACGAAAATCAGTGTTGTTCTCGGAACGGTTTTGCAAGTCCAAAGCGTGATAATGATTTCTGTTTCTAACCACTGCCTTTTTCTCATTGAAAATCATTACCACGTTTCTGTAAGCACAACAGTGTGATATTTTTCTTCATTCATCTGTCAACTGTTCATGGAGAGTATGCTTGATTATTGAATGTCCTGAAGTTAACAAGGGAGGTAACTTAAAAAAGGCTTTCAGAATTTTTTATAAATTTGCAGAGGGGTACTTTCGAACCTGCTTTAGACGATGGTCATAGTCTCCAGAATCAAAACTCGCAAAAAGAGCACATTTTTCCGGCTCAAAAAACAGGTCGCGAGATGCGCGCTCTTCTCTATGCCTCCCACCTTTTTTTTTGAACAGCGAGGAGTTGGCCGAGTGGTAGAGCGCCAGTCTAGTAAACGGAGGGTCTCGAGTTCGACCCCCCATACTCTTTTTCATTTTTTATTTTTTTTTCGAACTCATAAATGACTTCAAAGTGGATTCAGACAGCAAAAACAAGTTTTCCCCTTTTTAAAGTCACTGAATAATCAAATAAAAACTTTTTGAGAAATTTTATTTTTTTGAAAATTTATTTTTTTTGCATGTCCAAACCCATGAAAATTTTCGCGAACTTTTTTTTGAAAAAAATTCTTTTGGGAATGATTTTGCAAAGTGTATTCGTTCTTTTTATTGATTTTTACTGGGGTGTTTGATCAAAATCTATATTAATCCGTCATTCGAATTCGAAAAAAGCTAGTTTTTTTTAATGCTCTCATTATTTTATTCTTTGAAAAACCTGAATATGGACTTCGAAGTATCCCCTGTATGTCTTTCTTATTACTGTAAACCATTCCCAAAAGTATCGAAGAATTTTTTTTCAAAAAAAAAGATCGCGAAAATTTTCATGGGTTTGGACATGCAAAAAATAATAAATTTTCAAAAAAATAAAATTTCTCAAAAAGTTTTTATGTGATTATTCAGTGACTTTAAAAAGGGAAAAACGTTTTTGGTGTCTGAAATCCACTTTGAAGTCATTTATGAGTTCGAAAAAAAAATAAAAAATGAAAAAGAGTATGGGGGGTCGAACTCGAGACCCTCCGTTTACTAGACTGGCGCTCTACCACTCGGCCAACTCCTCGCTGTTCAAAACAGTGGTGCGAGGCATAGAGGAGAGCGCGCATCTCGTGACCTGTTTTTTGAGCCGGAAAAATGTGCTCTTTTTGCGAGTTTTGATTCTGGAGACTATGACCATCTTTTCAAGCAGGTTCGAAAGTACCCCTCTGCAAATTTATAGAAAATTCTGAAAGCCTTTCTTAAGTTACCTCCCTTGTAAGGGGACAGGACAGGCCAGCATTTTGAAACTAGTTTAGTCACCAGAGTTATTTCCTGCGTTGGGGGCTATGAATGACCATTAAAAACAATTCGATCGTAACCAAACGAGTTACCAGAAATTCGTAAACACAGCGAAACAGTAAATTTTCCAGAAACATGCTGTCAAATTTTGTAGAGAACATTAATTTATTAGCAGCCTCTTGATTTCAACACTATTTCTGAGACAAACTGTATCCATGGCAGAACCCATCTCAAGTAATTTATCTCAACTTGTGCTAACCATTTATAAAAGCAAAGTCATTTTTTCTTTTTTCAAACTTAAAAAAAATTTAGATACCGTTTCAATTGGTTTTCAAAATATGAGCTATTTGAACTGCTTCAGTAATGAAAAGATGAGAAGAGATGAAAAACAAGTTTTTTTATTACTTCTTAGCTAAATCGAACAGAGACCGATAGGCCCAACTAGAACAGAAAATGCCTATCAACCGGCAAGAAATGAAACTTTTTCCTATTTCAAAGATTAATTATCAGTGATATGTATTGAATTTTGTGTTGCATCGAGGGCTAAAAGTGCGCTACTAATTATATATTGTTTTAATCGTGTTCTCATCACACTATTCCTCACACTTCTACACATATCCATTGCTTCTTGCTCATTTTTTTTCACCGTTTCTTGTTCTCCATTTTCCGCAAACTCTGGGGATGATACTATTGGTTCTCTTCCATTTTACGATAAACCATTTCTCTAACAACTCTGTGTTTAGACCTTACCATGACCTCAATTATCCACTTCTTCGTCCTGCTTCTTCTCATCCCATTGGCCAGCTGCGCCAACGAGTACCGTAAGCTCTACAGCTGTAAGTTTTCAATCTCATATTCATTTATGGTCAATACAATATTTCCAGTCGTCTGCCAAAACCCCGTGTTGGTGTACATCACTGGCGCCGCGTGTGTTCTTCTCATCTTTGTTCTTCTCTATCAGATCTTCTGTGTTCCGGTGAACACTTGTAAGAGAGCTCCAAAATCAGTGAAAAAGGAGTGCATGAAAGACGACGAAGTCGAGATGATGTCGCTTGGGACAAACAATGTCTAGAGCTCCGATATTTATAATGTGATTAATTTCTATCTTCGTATTATGTTTCTATATTTATATTCTGTAACTTTTATATTTTTTCAATTGTCAAACTTTTTTTGGGTATGGTCTTCCAACCTATTTCTATGAATAAATTGAATTCGAGAAGCTCGGATCGATGGAAAAGTGACAGTCTACTAGTAACGAGAAATAATGTCGATTCTGTGAAACTGTGAAAAAATAGTATGGGATTTGGAGTCAAGTGAATTCCGGAAGATAAACCCCGCAGTGAGTGAAAATTTTTTTGGAAAGAAGTGAGAATAGATAGCGAAAAACTGGAAAACTAGCTTTGGATCTTTATTTTCTTCGTCTTCCGATTTTCCATGTTCCACTAATTTCATATGAATGCCGCCTCATCGAGTTTTCAACCTCACCATTCCATATACAGAAAAAAATGCGGTATCATAATAATCATATTAGAATCGACGGCTCTGCCCATTTTCTCCCCAACTCGGAAATGAATCCCGGGTTTTCCGTGGTTCCGATGGCTCGTCTCCTTGTACGCGGTCCGATGACGTCAAGAAAATGTCTGTGTGTAGTGATGTTGTGACATTTGCAATACACCACGTATACAGCATCCAACTTAAACTCGTTCAAAACTTGACAAGAATAATTATAGATTGACTAAATTAAAGAAAATCATAGAAGAAGATGTAGGCCAGGCTAGTCGGTCGGCCAGAAGAATGAACGAATAAATCGAGAAGGTACCCTTCAAGGAGGGGGTGGGGTGTAGGGGTACCCACCACGATATACGCGACGCGACACGCAACGCGGTCCGACTTCTCTCTCGACGTCAGAGATCCATTGGATCATTCTTCTTGGTCGCATACTGTGCGTATTAGACAGACCAAACGATGTAACAATGTCGGAAGGGCACTGCAACACAGTGCTAACTCAAACATAGGTTCGATAGATGTCGATACCATTCGAGCAGTTTTTTCACAGAGAATTCGGTTCCGTTCTCTGAAAGTATGAAGAAAATGATCAATTATTTTCCAATGGTGGCATCTTTGAAAAAAACTGTTCCATCGTTCAAAACCATGTTTGAAAATAGATACCGTTTCAAGTTGTTTTCTAAATCTGGGCTACTTGAATTGCTATGGTGTGATCGAGAAATGAGCTCCAACACAAATCTGCATATTTTTGATCGGATATTTAAATTCTTCACTCAAAAATCGATGGATGCAATTGGAATAGGTAACGCCAATTAATTCATCAGAAGCGCAACTTCTCGGTTTCACAGCCTTATTATAGAGAAATCGAATTCGGCTGCACGGTTAATGTTGATTATTCAAAATAGACTGCATGTTTGAGCTCGTCCCTTTGCTACAAAAACAAAAAATGTCTCAAGATCCCGTCATCCTTAATTTTATTCTAGTTTCTACCATATCCATTGATAATTTTGTATTCACTATCTGTAATACCGAACTTCGTTTGGGAGTAACACTGTCATTGATATTTTTCCCAGTCAGCTTCTTTTTATCAACAAGTTCAGTTAACTCATCATGAATCCAACAAAGTTTATTAGCTAAGAAAAATATATGTCAGTTTCGTGAAACTGAGAATAAATGGAATGAGCTTTCGCGACAATAGAATTCCTGTAGTTGGGCCGAGCAGTAAATAAAAAATGTCGGGAATAAATAGCAAAACAATGGAGCACAAGTTTGGGACCTTTACGTCCTTCTTCTTCCAATTTTTCATGTTTCACTATTTTCATATTCATGTCGTCTCGTCGAGTTTTCAATCTGAGCATCCTATGCATAAAAAATATACATATTCAGAAACCCCGTATTTTTGTTTTATTTAACTGAGATCTAAAGCTGTTGAAACGCTAATCATTCTCGTTCTCCGTTTCAAAACGTTCATAAAATTGGGTAAATGACGAAGCCATTAATTCATGTCTCAATTCGAATGATGAATATTGAAAGAAAAAAAGGAGAGAAAACGTTTCATTCTGCTCAAGGTTCTCTTTTTTCCAAGAAGAGCCTCATTCGATTCGTGAAAATACTCGGTTCCATTTTTTCTTCAAGGAGAACAATTGCTGTAACATGATTGTCATAATAGATGAGAGGGTTCTGCTGTATTATTCTGTTTGCATAAATAGCAAAGAAAAACAAAATGATTCCGCTGATTCACATCCTCCGAACTGTCCAATTCGAACCGTTTGACCTTATCTTTCAAGATTATGAAAAAAACAAGCTCTCATCTGGACGATTCTAAAACAGGGTACCGCACACAATTCGCAAAGATACTCCGATTCCGAATTGGTCTAGAAGTTGCTAGCTTAAGCAATGAAGAGAAACTATATTTTTTCGCAGTCTTCTGGTTGTATCCAGCTTTCGGATATTTCATTTCGAATGCTCATGCACCCTTTTTTCTTGTTATACCCAATCTTCGCTGACTATGAAAAACAAGAACCCATTTTTCAAATGAACTTTATGAAATGTCAAGAAATTACAATCTCATTGTACATGGACACAATTACAGGATCATGAAAATCAATTGATAATAAAAAATAATAAGAATAGAAGGTAACAACAATAGACAAAAATAGGTAATCAACTCAAAAATACTTATTATGCAGGCCAAACGACGAAACGGACAATGTAGGGAGGGCACTGCAACACCGTGCCAATTCTACCATCGGCTCGATATAGATCGGTTCCATCCTTGCAGTCCCAGTCCCAGTCCCTGAAAATGTGTTATTTCAAGTGGTACTGTACCAAGGGGTACTATTTAGTCCCGCCACCCTCTACCCCAACATACTCAAACTCAAACCGCTGAGGTCTTCTCGCGGGATTCCATCGTTGTCCACCGAGACGTCTCAAAATATCCATTCCTAAAACAGCCGGTGGAACTTGAATCTCAACGATTTTGATTCTGTCCATTGATCCATCATCATACGTCTTCCATTTTTCGAGGAATCCAAAAATGTCCACCCTACAGAATTTGGTTCTCTGCAGAAAAATAAGGGGACAGTTCAGCGAGAGC